CCCCGCGCACGGACCTGCCGCGGAGCAGGGGCCGCAGGGCAGAGGCCGCCCTGTGTCCAAGCGCTGGGACCAACGTCAGGCAGCGGGAATGGCTGAAATGGTCCGAAACGCCCCAGCCGGGGTCGCCTGAACTGCTACAGATACTATTGCTAGCCCATGAGCCGAGCGCTGGCTTGGTCAGCGGTCCCGGGCAGAGTCACCCCCGCAGAGCCCCGTGCCACCCCCCAGCGAGGGAGCGGGCCCCAGGCCCCAGCACAACTCCAGGCACGCGGCATTCCCTCCTGGCCGCAGCTCTGCCAGGGGTCGCGTTTGGTCATTTTACTTCCCTGTTAGGGTTGGTTATTCACAGTGCCCAAACAGCAGAAAAAGGCAGCATCAAAAGCAAAGCCCCACCGGCAAAACCCAGGGCAGAGCTAGGGCCAGGGGACGAGCGGAGCAGCACCTGCCCTGCTCACTGTCAGCTCCACGCATGCTGCCAACCGTCAGTCGGGCGCCCTTTCCCCACAACAAAGGAGAATTTCAAAGGGAGCTCCTGAAGCAGGCGGCTCCTCACACCACAGCCCCAGGCCCCCGGAGAGCCCTGGGGTCTCCTGCTTTCTCCTCCCTACGCCCAGCTCCTCCCTCCCGAACGCACGCACGAGGAGTGAAGAACCGGACGCCCGACACCCCGCAGACATCTACAGAGCCTCCTGCAGAAGGCAGAGCTAGCGCGGTTACAACCATCTGGTTGGCCTGAGGAGCTCTTCCATCTTGCCTCCCCTCAGCTCTTCTATCCAAGTACATTTAAAAACAATGGAGCGATACAACTGTTTAAAACCGAAGTGATCCGCTTTTTTTCTGTGGTAGTAGGTGGTCCTGTCTGCTCCTGCCACCAGGACAAGAAGAGGCTGCAGCCCGGGGCTACTGGTTTTCCTCACGCATCTGTTCCATGATGTTGATGAGGCTTTCCAGCCCAAACACATAACCCATGTCAGGTCCGTCATGCACGGTGGGGTCATCCCGGAAGCCTTTGAACGTGCTGTGTGCGAAGTCAATCATGCGCACATCCACCTTGGGCTGCGCCGAGGAACTGGGCTCCGTGGTGCTGCCATCCTGAAGGCTCTCCGGGAGCGAGCTGTCCACCCGCTTCAGGCGCATCTCCGGCCGGCGCTCCACAAACATCCCTGCCCTGCTGTCCTTCCCGTCGTAAATGATGAGAAGGGAGCTGGAGTAGAAGCGGTAGGAGGCTTGTCTCTCCAAAACCGCCTTCAGGCTTCGCAGTTTGGCCAGGACAGGCTCAAAGAGGTCCTTGCGCAGCTCGATGCCGTTGTGCAGATACTGGTAGAGGGCATTGCGGAAGCCCTCAATGGAAAGACCGCGTCCATAGTATTTATTCCTGCACAAGTAATGCCCTGTGTCCAGCTGATAGACCTAGAAAGCCAAAGGAGAAACACCTCAAGTGGGAGCAACAGGTTCAGGCCAGGCAGAGCACCCTGCGCTGCCCTGCACGGACAGGGCAGAGGGACCTCGCCATGTCACCTCCACGGCCAAGCAGGAGCCAGAAACAGCTCCGCCTGTTCCCCGAATTCCAAAGCACCTCATGGGTACATCCCCAGCCAGCACACCCAAGGGGCAGCTCGTCACTGCAAGGGTCCCCAGGAGGCAGGGCACAACAGACCTCGAGGCTCAAAACACCAAGCCTTGCAGCAACGCGGACAGTCCCCCGGCAGCAGCAGCTGCCAGCACATGCTGCTGTTATTATGGGCCATGTG